TGTTATCATAACTCAACCGTCACCGTTTCCACTTACTCGTCCCTGGCCTTCTTGTCCACCAGAAACAGCAGCTCCACCGACAGCTGAGGGGGGCGGCTCGGGGCACGGAGGGGCCCGGGGCCACCAGGGGGCCCTGCAGGGGCATTCACTCGGACACCGCCCCTGGCAAACGGGTCCAGTGGAGGAATTGGGTTCAGAGAACCGAGCGGACCCCCGATATCGATCTGGCGACCTCTTATACCCCCAGGAGCGGCGCCCAGACCGCCAGGAGACGCGGGAAACCCAGGCCCTAGCTGGCCCAGACCCCCGGCCGGGAATCTCTGTGAGCTGACGTCATGGATGAGAGACACTGGGGACGGAGGAAGCGGCAGGAGTCAGTGTTTAGTTTTAGTAAGAGTTTTACGGCACTTGCAACACAATAAGGTCATATAATAAGTGCCGAAGATTAGAGGTGTTACAAGAAAGTGACAAACAAAATGGAGGAGAGATCAGGACGATAGATGCTTGATAGGAAAGAAGGAGCAAACCACACCCAAGCACCCGCCAACCACCCACAGAAATAATATTATCTTGTGTCACGACGCAGTGGAATCAGGCGCTCATCCATGTTGGGGCATCTGGGGTTATTGGTATCCCCTTGAAGCTTGTTCATTTGTTTTGCTTTAGGTGATAAGAATATTCATCTGTCTTGAATGGAAGTCGAGTTATTTGCGATTGAACGAGATGGTGGTCGCCTGAATAATCGAGAAAATGATTGCGAAAGTTTGATGACTTCATAAGCTTGAGTGTTCATAGAGACTGCAAATTTACATCCTTTGCGCCTTTAACTTTCATCAACGTTTTTATTCGGTAAAAATCGAAACAGAAATGAATGAGTTCTTAAATGGACATAAAAGGTGTTGAGTGAACAAACAAAAACAAAAATAACCCAACGAAATTCAATAAAATTTGCTCAACAAGCGGAAGGTGTCAGTTTCTTCAATTGTATTATTTATTTGACAAACGCCTTATTCCACCACGCTGCGACACTTTTTTTTCACGGTGTTGTAGAGAGTAAATCAGTGCTTGTCGGTTTTATTATTATAATTATAATTA